TATATATATATAAGCCAGATCCGAGCACAGTCTCTTTAATCCTCTGAGCCACGTCATAGCCTGTCCACCTCGCTGTTTCTTCCGGCCCGGACCGACGTTTACGAATAGTGCATGGTGTGACAGGCATTCGTAGGACATGCCCCAGTCACCTAGGACGATGCTGTGAAATTATTTTGTTCAAAGGAAGACTATCTGATCCCGATCCACTCAGACGAAAACTCATCCTCTGATCAGTTGACCTCACTTTTGGCAATACACGTGATGAATTTGGTAAAAATCACCGAAAATGAGCGGACGGATAAGATGTTTTACCTTATCAGATAGACGCGCAAAAAGGCACCAGTAAAATAGTGCACTGACCCTTCAAGACAAAAACTGGTCATTACGTGTTAACTCTTTCCTTCTCACTCTCCACTGGACGCAGATTCATTGAGAAAGTGCCTCCGACTCTGTTCTCATGATTATTCAGGTCATGTAGGAATTCAGCGCTTCTAAATGCTACATGATAATTATGTCATTTCGTATTGCTATATATTCAGACAATCGCGCTATTTCGTCACCAAAGACTGTCGGAATTGTACGCATAACTTGTTGTGATTCGGTTTGCTTAGACCGAGAGTACTGAAGAATTCCACAAACACACTTGTATATAATAATAATAGCGATCGTCTGCTCGCAAGATGTAAAATGTAAAGAAAGAAAGTTGAAAAGGGGCATTAGAAAAATACGAATCAGAATGTTGAAGTAAAATCGGACAAAAAGGGGCAGAAAGGAAAAAACCTAAACAACATATACACATGAATCGATTGTCAAAAAGGACCGTACAAAAGAGGGCAAGTACCGGGGTATATGAAATGATAAAAGTAAACGTATCAGTTAGGTTCCCTGAGATGCACCGCTGAGTCACATCCACGTTGATGATAGAATGAAACGGCTCGAAACGAATCGTCTAGCGCGGAGTCCAGCTCTTGCAGAATGCCCACAAATGTGGGTCGATCTTGGGCGACAAAATTCGAACACCGATTTATAATCGTTTGACTGAAATGATTAACAGAAGCTCGTCAGTGGACAAATGACAGAACAAATCTGGAGAAATAAATCTGACGAAGAGTGGAACAGGTACAACTTCTATTCAAATAGTCTACTGTTCGTCCGTGGGAGTAATGAACCCGCGAATTACAATCACATGCAGCAGCAAGATTACTCCGGAATGGGTCTGCGTAACCAGTCCGGACGCCCGTGTAAAAACCAATCACGTGAAAATCCCACACGACCTGTTACTTTTCCAAGTATGTCTCAAGTTCTGCAACAAGAAGGGCGTTCTACAATGAGCATAACACGAGTCAGCAGAATACTGTTTTATTACTTTTTGTGGTCAATTAAACACCGTGTAATTGCCTGTGACAGTTCGAATAGTCATGAAGGGGTAAAGAAGGCCAGCTGGAGAGAAACTATTGACATGTACATTCAATTCACAGCTACTTGTAATTGGTGTCGTGGCCAATGTTATTAATTGTGAATTGTAATCACACAAACAGGAACTTGACGGGAAGCCTTCGCATGCAGTTTACAGCGAGCAAACCGCGTCTCTCTTTAGTGCTGTCGGATCAAATGAAGTGACTGGTTGTTTTCGAAGAGGACAACGGAAATAAACTTTATTGGATAGTTTTAGTAAGCCCCGATGTGAGCTGTTACGCGCTCGCACACACCACACAAAAGATCCGCGATCCTAATCCCAGTCAGATTTACGAACATGCACTATTGACAGACTGCAGCAAGACCGAATCTGGATTTTGGCCCCCAATCGTTGAGGAGAAAAACTATAAGCGGTCTAAATCCATGGACAACAATAAAGATACGACGCAAAGAAACTTTGCAGATTCTGAGTGATAGACAAAACACTGACGATCAGGAGTTGTCGTTTACAGATTTCATGTCCATTTGCAATTTCACTTGACTGGAGAGGATCGCACGTAGTCGCACCACAAAATTTACGGTATAAAACAAATCCACCTTACTACCAAAAAGTTAAAATGATTAACTACACCAGAGTAAAAAAAATTACGTTCAGTTGACGAGTTCACTGTATTCATTACTGTAAAATTTTAATGCCTGTCGTAGAGGTAGCCGTATTACTTGATGAACTAGATGAAGCCAATCCGTAGTGCTAGTGGTCGGGAATGTAGGGGGTCGAGTTGAAATGAAACCTGATAACATTACTGATTATTCACGGGAGACCCTTCGAATCATAATGCATCTTGGGTGACGGAATGTATCAAGATCACCTGAACTTACAGAACTGAAGGTAGTCGTGCTGGCAAATCTCGTAAATCCAAATATCCACCTTGAGTCACGTGCGCAATCACTTGTTCGTGAGATAGGCCAGAATATGGAAGAGCAGCAAAGGTAGCGATCTCCCACAACACAATTCCATAGGACCTATAAAGCAGAAAGGATACACCAATGTGGAGCAAAAATCATCAAAAATCTGATATTCTTGTTTTGTTTACATTAATTGTTCGTCAATGACTTTATGTGAAAATGATAAAGGAATACTAGCTGACCAAACTTCTAACCATAGGCAAGATACCCAAAACGTAAACTGGACGGAAGCAATGATACGGTGGAAAGGTCGT